CCCCAAAACCCCAAAACCCCAAAACCCCAAAACCCCAAAACCCCAAAACCCCGTGGATAAATTTAAACACATGATTAGGATGATTAGATTTATAATTAAAATAGTAGTCAATCGATGTAATTTACATCAAAGGTTGATGTGGTGTTTTCCATTGTAATAATGTCATTTTTATCTTGTTTCATTGCTGAATATCTCGATGAAATTGGCAGGTATCCTTTACTCTTCTGACATTATCTTTATTACATATCTACTATTTAGTTTTCTTTAAGAAATTGTGGTTTGCAATTCTTATTCAATTTTAGAAACTAGACACTAGGTTCAGATACTTTAAGCTGTTACGTTTTAACTGGAGTTTGGTAATTAATTTGATCTTTTGCTTATTTTCCCTATCTGTTGTTTATTGATGTGAGAGCGTTGGACGACTACAATAGATTTAGATTTTTATTCGAAAGAGGATCAACGTCTGATTCATCTAATGACTCAGCATCGCATTCAAAGGTTTAATCGTATTAATTCAGGTCAAAGTTAACCTCCTACTACTATTCCTAATGGCAGTTTATGAGATTCATGATAGAATCGTTTGAGTTTAACTCGCTGAACTTCTGATTTGAAGTTTAGTTCGAATTATTATAGCTAATAATTTAAGTCACCTAGGGTTTAGGCCTAAATTCAGGTGATTCTTTCCTGAATTCTTCTGATGGTCTCATTGTATTAAACAGAATTATTGAAGATTCTTGGAGTTATTGAAGATTTTTATTGTTATTGCTTGAACTGTCATTATTCTGGCAGGTTTAGAGAGTGCAATCTTGCTTCAGATATTCTTTCCAAACATCAATGGCATTTATGTTTTGATCCTCTAGGAGCTTTTTAATATTGGTAGTTTAAGTCATGAATATATTATCTTTCTTAAGAGGAGACTTACTTCCATAATAATCTTGTTAAATAGCTGAAGGTTGATCTGACATAGTACTAAATATATTTGGCTTGGAATTCATCTTAGTCCCTTTTTAGTAATAGCTGCTTATGTTTTACTTACTAGTTGATCTATTTAAGTGCCCTATTTTCTTTTATTTTTTTGCATCAATATTGGCGATCTATTCTACAAGATCTTTAACCACCTCCATTCTAACTTTTTCCATTTTCCTCCTTTCAGTATCTGTCATGAGTTTGTTCACTATTTCATTATTTCTCTTTTTTGTAATTTTCTCATTTGATCTACCTCCCTAGGATCTAAGCAACTAGATTTCATCACTAATGTCTTTCATTCGCTTTTATTCTTAAATTTTATCCTATCTTTAGTTCTCTTATTCCATAAATCTTTTATAAAGATCCTCACTCTTCTTGGGGGTAAGTGGCTTATGATGACTGAAATTTTGAATTGTATGATTTTGAGCTTTTACTTTTTCTTTTGCTTCTTTAAATTAAGCTCTTCTTTTCCCATCTTCAATTAATCGGCCAAATAAATTATCTCTAGAGGTAGTTCTTTATTTTGAATCACTTTTTTGCTTCACAAGATCAAGTCTTTATTCTCTAGAGTTCCTCTTGAAAATATCAAATTGCATTCGCTCATGAAACTTTGGATTATCTTTAGGAACATTAACCTGAGAGTATGTCTTGAAAAAGACATGTTCTAAATCTCTAATCTTCTTTTCTTCAGAGTACTCAAATTTAGGGATTTTCTCTTTTGATCTTGAGGATTTACGAGCAGATTTAAGAAGAAAGCTAGAGGTGTTGCTTGTTTTTTACAATTATTTCTTTGGGGATTCAAGCTTTTCTTTTATTTTCTAAATCAGTACTTTATTAAAACTGTATTAGTCTCGATCTGTTTTAACCATCAATTTCCTTTGCTAATTAGACTAGACTAGATTGGACATTTGACTATCATAAGTTTTGAATAATGTCTTTGATGAATGATTATCTGTTTATTTATTTATGAATGATTCAGTAGTTGGCACATTTACTTCAGATTAAGGACTCTCTAACTTTGGAGAGCAAGCAACATTATTATTTATTGTGCTTCTGTTGTCAAAAACTTTTGAGCTGAGTAATTGATTAATTGTGGACCTTCCTGAAGAGAATTTTAAAGACTCAAGGACCTAATTTGTAGAGCATATAGATGATTACATGGACACAACTGAAGCAGCATGAGATAAAGTTTGAGCTTCTCCATTGGCTTATCTGACTAATGTACTAGAATGACCTCTATTTGCAGCATTTTGCAGGATACTATTAAGATGAGATGCCTGCTTACGGTAAGGAGAAGATTCTAGTATTCTCTAGGAAGGTGCTTTCTGTAACTGCATTGTTGAGCTGTTAATTGATTGATTTTGATTTCGATTAGAAAGAATTTTCTTAGAATTAGAATCAAAGGGCTAGAAACTAGATCTATTTTACATTGACAAAAATAAATTTATATTTTTGCATTAACAGCTAATAAAATTAATTAAAAATTCCTGCATCCCAAATTCTAAAATTACACCCTTAAGGGGTTTTGGGGTTTTGGGGTTTTGGGG